AACCCACACATGCCCAAGTTACCAACTTACATCCAATGCGTTGTTTGGGAAAACAATAAGTGGTGCAGTAAGTGTACGCCTTTGAACTAACCCTTCCTTACTAACGAACAATCGGCGAGAAGTCCACTCGATCATTATTACGAGCTTCGATATCATAAAATCAGTCGGATATTTTAAAACGTAATTCGAGAAAAATAAACGTGCCAGCGGAGAGATAAAAATGTGAAATGATTACATTAGCTACCTCTGCTTTCATTAATGTCTCTCGGGAGCCGAATTTGTTTTTTATTTCGATACCCTCCTCAAAGCCAAATAATATTATCCGCAAATTATCTATAGGATCTGCAGAATACATTTTTCTTTTCCGTCTATCTACAAGTATTTATGTTCCAATCATGCTGTTTGATTCAAGCTATCTGTGCCTACTACTTTAACTTTGTTTATATTTTTGTGAGTTCTAAAATATTCAACGAGTTACACTAAGTTCTTTACAAAACTATCGTACCTATTTGCACAATGATGTTTTGACCTCCAGTGTCTCGTCTTCAAATTGACGCAATAAGTATAAAAAAACTGATACCGCAGAGTCTAGAGTCGCGTTAAAAGACATTATTGTTGTAATATTAATATGTAGATACGTCATTAGTGTAACTATGTTTACTTTTCAATACAAGAAAAATATGTTGTTAGGTAGGTGGTTGGGAAGCGTGTTGTGTTCCTATTCGAGGACGGATGAAACTGAATGCAACTGTGGAGTTCCGGCTGCAGGCGCTGCTCGTGCGCTTCGACGCACCACGGGGCAAAGGTTTGTTGAAATTTTCCTGCCAATCAATTCGTTCGTCGTTAACGCGCAACAAACAACAATAGTTGTTGACAGCAATTGCCGCACCTAATTGCGATTTTGCACATTAACATTGACTTGACACTTATCAAATGTATAAGACGTTACCAAAATTACGAAATACAATCAGGCAGTATCAGCGCAGACTCGAGTTTAGTAGGTTAGTGGAGCTGCTTCAGATAAACATTATTCAATTATTTGCTTGTTCTTTGGATCTCACAACGGACGCGTATTCGACGTTGTTAATTGAATTATGGACAAAACATTAGGTTCTAACCCGAACAATCATTATTCGCCTAAAGTAGGTAATGTACGACCGGTTTAAGCCGCTCATTCACGTTAACGAGAGTAAAATCGCAGGGGTTGGATTACGGAAGTGTCCATTGAGCCCCGGTGTCTTTCTTAAACCCCAAGAGGTTTCAGCATCAGGCCTGAGGTCACCCATATCGATCCGCGATGGCTGGAGACCGCACCGTGTCCGATCGCCTCTCAGGTCTCAGCCGAGTCATTTTCATCAGAATCTCTAAAGATAGCTTCCGCTTTCGTTAAGAATATACGCATACGTGTATAGTACAGATTTCGGGAAGGGGCTACCGGCGGCGGGTCGATCGAAGCCGCAGCTTCAATGCGGCAAAGTGATCGGCCCGCAGCGCGCCCGCTGCCGGCTGAGCGGGCACGCCGGGCGGGCGCGCGGGCTCGTGCTGCGCGCGCGGCGTGCCCGCTGACCTAGTGCCGGCGCGCGCCCGAGCGCGTGACCGCCGCACGCGCTAGCACTATATCGGTCGCGGTGCGCGCCACACCGAACCCTCGAACTCGCCAAGTATCAACCTGACACTCACCGTTTCCGTTTATGAGGGGGTAGTCGTCGTCGTGTCGGCCTATGTACGTCTTCAGCGGCGTATCCGTGAGGGAGGGCGACGACCTGTCCCTGTCACTCATAATAGTCACTTGCAACACTCGGGAGAGACTCGATACAACACAGGGGACGGGAGACGCGCCGGCCCCGCACACACCACGACCTCCGGCCCGCGGCTCGCGCGGCGAATAAATAATGGAACACTGGCGGCCGCAGTCGCTCGCTGCGGCTCTCGTCTCCCGCCCTCGCCCGTCTCGCGCCGCAATCAATCCGCGCGCCCGGCGCCCTCTAGCGCGCTTATCGCTTTTACAGAAAGCATGCGACGAGCACCGACTTCGCGCTTCATCAACTAGATGGCGCACTCAAATTTTCCACTAAATCACGTGTTCGGCAGGAGGAACCTGCGGTGGGCACGACCTCTGTGAGGAGATTAGAGCGATTAGAACCAAAATAAAAACAATCAAATCGTGTTTTGATCAGGCGTTATCTTCACAAGTGTAAATTACCTATTTATACACGCACACGATAGTGAGTAGTGGGCTATGTAATGAATAATAATAGTTTTAATAATATTAAGGCACCCACCACATTTTTTTAAGAGTGATTCAAGAGGAAGGTTTATAATATTTATTTAATTAATATGTATACTTAGCACCAGTGCGTAGCCGAGGCGGGTCGCTAGTCGCTAGTATGTTAAATGTGTATTTATGACTTTAGTTTTAGAATAGAATTTAATAAAAGGCAATTAAGCACTGTTGTGACTCATTTGCGATTGCTTGATAATATAGGTATTATTTCGATAATATAAAAAATAACGCACCACGTTGGGCGCCAATTAAACTTCAATTAATAATTATTTTGACTTGTTATAAATTATATTTTATGTATTTATAATCTTCACTGATGAGTGCAGAGTTCTCTTGTCTTAAACCAGATCGATGGAAGATAGCGAATATGAAGACACAAAGAGAACGTAACATTTAGTCTTAATTTCGAAAATGTCGTGGTATATGGCGGTAGCTTAATTCTGGTTTGGGGAGGGATTTATGTTTGGGAGTGGTGGTCGATGGAGAACACATGACTTCTGAATGGTACACTAGGAACATTTTAGAAGAACATTATGTGCCATTTACTCCATTTATTGGGGACTCCTTTAGTTTTCACGATAATGCTCGTTCTCACAGAGCTCGCTCAGTACAGGCATATCTAAACCATTTGGATTTATACCCATGATGCAGTGGCTGGCGAGATCCCCAGACAATAATCCTATGTATATTCGTAAACTATTGACGTTTAATCTAAACATCCAAACCAATTTTGTTTCTGTAAGCCGTGGGTATAGTTTTCATACTTAGTTGCCTTTAGGCGGATGGTGGGTAACATTAATTTATTTAATTTCATTTTTTATTTCTTAAATGATTATTGTGTACATACGTATGTGCGACTTCACGTTTTGTAAAAAACTCAGTGGGAACAGACAAAATTACAAATATTTAATATAGATACACACAAGGCAAGGGCTTATCTCTGTGCTTGATATTTACTATTATACGGTTTTTTTTTAATAGTGAGTGAGGGAGCGTCTGTGCTATTGCCATTTGCCCCATACTATCATAACTATCTTCGGATACCATAGCATCAAAATATGCCAAATTGTTTCTTTGCCTGTCTTACGTGGGTGTCTATGCAAGTAGGTAGACGACCCGGTATGAAATGTTGGGGGGTACCTACATTTTGAACAAAAAAAAAATTAAAATGAAAAATCAAGTAAAAATAATGTGACATTCACGTCGATCGGACCGAGCAGAACTTATTAAAAAATCTAGAAAACTGCAACTCCCTGCTCGCTCCTCGCTGTTTTCCGCTAACCTGTAACTACTGCACCCCTTCTATGATCTGAGTACTGCACCTACCTATTCGGTAGATACAAAGCTTAGTACTCTTGTGAAAGACCGTCTTGATTCTAGTATTGTATATACCTAGCACATTTAGAGATGAATGACAGTGAAGTACCTAAGTTCTGCTAATTAAACAAGATCTTAACTGTTTTGACGCCCAAGAAAATTGTGTCAAATAAAACACCATTCATAATCAGAGTAGGCACTTAGCTTTTTTTAAAAACAATTGCTTAATATAACAAAATATCGAACTATATCTTTCTAAATAGTTTATTAATACTAATAAAATTAGACACGTTGAAAAGCGGTGTTGTGTAGCGGAGTTGGCCGCGATGAAAGCGTCCCACTGGTGGTTGAGCGCGGGGGACAGGGCGTGAGCGGGGAAGGTGGGGGGCAAGCGCGTGGTGGGGCTGCCGGGGACGTCGGGAACGGCGGGGACGCCTGGGACGCCGGGGACGCCGGGGACACCCGCATCTTTGCGCTGACGCCTGGCCCCGAGCAGCGCGGTCAGCTCACGCTCAGCGACGTTTGTTGCCGTGCTCCATTGCGGTTCCATTACTAAGGCAAAACATTAATGTCAAAGTAAAGATTTTTTTTATTTGTGGGTATACCTACACCTACTATAAATAAATTTAAGATTTTCTGTGTGATTTAGCAAATAAAGCAATAAGTACATAATAATATTATTATCTTTCTTAAACGAAATTCTCGTGTCACACAAACTCCTCCACAATGGCTTGACCGATCATTTTAGTAAGTAGGTCTGAGATAAAACGTAAACTACTTAATTTTCACATACTTCCAAGAGGATTTTTCACGCGTAGGAAATCGCTAGCACAGCTATAGGTTACGTATATACAATGTCGGCCAGGTGCAAGTGACCGCCCGAAATATTCTAGGTATTTAGTTTACCTATCGAGAAAAAAAACTTGTTTTTGGGCGGTCACTTGCACCTGCACGACCTAGTACAGGGATGGCGAATCAATGGCACGACACCAATCACAAAAATCACTAATATAATAAAATAGTAAATAATGTGTTTTTAATTAGGGCTATCGTATTTGCCCTCGTGGCACTAACTGACGAGGGCAAATACACTGTATACCACTCATTGTTAGCATCAGGTGTTATATGGCACGTCTATGATTACATTACAATACATCAAACCTTTTTTTCGGAAAAGTGGCACGTTGATACATAAAGGTTCGCCATCCCTGACCTATAACCTCTAGTTTGTATTGTTAGTTTGCAATGTTTTAGTAATAAAACAAAGTATTAATATCTTTGAGTGTTATACTTCATTTAGTAAATAAGTTATGGAGGTAGAAAAAAACAAATTACATAAAACATTACCTACACAACGAACACAATGACACACAAATACATAATATTGTTAAAAGCCGAGCTTAACCACTTTCACTACCGAATTATGATAATCACTTGAAAAAGTACAGTTGTAAACAAATGTGCGTCACGGTCAAGGCGCACCGAGCTGACCGCGTCCAGCAGAGACATGTCGATGTAGTCGCACACGAGGTCGTCCCAGTTGTCGGTGAGCTCGTGGATGTTCTTGGCGTTGGCCACCAGCTTGTGGCGCATCAGGCGCTTGACCTGGTCCAGGCGCGCGGGCGAGTCGGCGAACACGGCCTGCGCGCGCATCCACGGCTCGGCCGACGACGGCGGCTCCACCATCACCAGCGTCGGCAGCTTGTGCGTCACCTGCAGCAGCACCGGCGGCTTCTTCGTCGCCGTGTCCAGGTTCATGCTCTCCTTCCGTTGCGCCTTCTTCAGAATCGATAACCTTGACTTTTCGGCTAACGACATTTCTTTAGAGATGTTTGCGGTTTTAGCTGTAGTTGATGAGGTTGTAACGGTTGTTGTCGTTGTCGTGGAGGTGGGGTGGGACTCGGTGGGGGGAGGCTCGGTGGTGGTGCGCTTGGCCGGCGACGGCGGCAAAAATATGCGGCGGTTGGACAAGTAGTCTTCTAGAGACCGCGTTGACAGCTTCAGACTCTCTTCCGTCACTGAGCACACAATATAAGCCACAGGTTAGCAACCGCACTATCACACTGTCTGTCACTGATTCGATGAGATTTTCAATAAACACAATATTATAAAGACCCTCTAATAAGTAATATTACTTTAATTTTACCTGTCGGTCTAGATGTAAGTTTTTGTAAAACTGAACCACTTATCTACTAAGTAAAGGTACAAAATAAATTGCCCGTGATTAAAATCCATTCGTCATTTATGTTACTTCAAGCAGGATTCGAACCCGTTACCAAAATGCGAAAGTTACAAGATGAAAGTAAAAAATAAATAGTTGTTTAATAGATAATACATCTTTCATACCTGTCGTCCGTCGCAACAGTGATGGCAATTTTTTCTTAATATTCATTACTCTCTTCATGTCGTAGTAGTCGCCGCTGTAGTCATCATAGCCCTTAGACTTCCCCTTGGCCTTTTCTCCTTGTAGAATGGGTTCGTCCTCGTCTGACGGCTCTCGAGGGCCGGGCATGGACTCGTCCGGGGGCCGGCGGCGCATGAGGCGCTCGCTCAGCGGCCCCGGCCCGGGCGCGCGGCCCATCCCTGGAAGCATCCACCGATCGACATCAGAGTCAGATTTAGCGGATTCTTCACCATCCTCTTTTTTTAGCTGCCTATCTCTAGGCTTTCTTCGCACCACTCTCTCACCGCCCGCTCTGTGAGCATATCGATCTTCCTCAAAGCTTTTTCTCTTATCATTTCGAAAGTCTTTATCTATTTGTAACTCCTCTTCAGTATCGCTGTCGTCGTTCCTGATTTTGTGATTTTCAGAATATTTTGGCAACTCATCGTCGTGCCGCTCAAATTTCCGACTTTTGAGGCGAGTGTGGTGTTTTGTGAAACGGTTACTTGACCTTGGTTTGGGGAAATCGTCATCGGGATCGAACCGGTCCGCGGGATCCGTGTGGATGTCGTCTACGGCTCGACTCTTTTTGTGTCTTCTAGCCGGTCGGTGCTGCCAAGATTCAGCCTCGTCGACTTCTTTCCCAGGTGGTGATTCTGTTTTACCTGTAACAATATTTGAAATAATTCTTCTATCAGATTTACTAAGTCATAGCGTATAAAATGGTAGGTAACAGGACATACATCTCCTGGCTCACAATCAGCCTTACTTTAGTTATAGGTAGGTACAATAGGTACTTTACTAGCGTCAGATGTGTCTAACAGCGCTGTTGTGTCAAACGTACCAATCTGTGAGTTCGAAGGGTCTTCCTCGTACTTGTAGTCGAGCGCGGCGGGCGCATCCGGCGAGTGCCCGCGGTAGTCGTCGGGCTCGGGCGCGGGCCCGTGCTCGCGCGCGTCGTAGTCGCCGCCGCCGTACTGCGGCATGCGCGCGCCCGAGTAGTCGCCGTAGCGCGCCGCCGCGCCCGCGCACGCCGCGCACGCCAGCGCCACCAGCAGCGCCCGCGCCATGCCTCCTCCGCGACCGCGCCCGCCACGCACTCGCTAACACGCAGCAACAGCACGTTCACTGTGCGATCTTCCGTTACAATTTTGCGACATAATTCTTGAACAGTGACCAACAGTGACTACGAATTTGACATTGATAGGTTGTTTTCATTGTTGCTGACATTTTTCGTGGTGTGTTCAAACATAAAGGTGGTACTTGTGTGCTTGCCAGTGAGAGCTGAAGTGGATTTAGTTATTAAAAAAGTAATTCGTGTTCTTATCTATAAAAATAATGTTAAATTATAGGAATTTTCTAGATAATTTGAACAATATAAAAATGTAATTGAAAAAATAATACAACTGCAAATGATGTATCTGTCCACTCACAAAATTATAAAAAATGTAAGACTGACATGAATGTCATAAAAATCTAAAATCAATCAAGCAAAATGAAACCCGCATCCTAGTTTCTAAAATAAACAATGAAAATTCCAGTGCCAACAATTTTTTGAATTTCAATAATGTGTGAAAGCCCCCCATTTTCTACCAGTGTCTACAATGATAAAGTAACAGACCTTGCGTCGACGTAATGAGCGAGAAAAAAAAAGGCAATGATAAAGAGGAAGAGGACTGTAGCTGCTACGCGGAGTCGCGAACCAAAAAAACTTGCCCGCCCATCAGAAACGTGACGCACCCGCTAGTAAGCACTGCTGCGGTCGCTGAAGAAGCAATAATATTCATACACTCAAGTCGACTCTGCACTCACTGATGCCTGGAATTTTTTCTTTCAGCGCTACTATGAATTCACTCAAGATGAGATCAAAGCTTTGGAGGAATGCGACAGGGAGAGCTTCTACAGACGCTGCGTGCCATTCAGCTCGGCATTCGCCACTGCGACATACGCTGCTATAAAAACAGGTGAGTCCTTGCACACTCTGAAGGAAGACTGGTAGGGACGCCACGAAAACCTTCATAGAAGTAAGCACCTGTCGGTTGATTTTTGTTTGATTGTTTTGGTGACGTTCCCGCCTTCCTTCTTACTTCTATGAATGTTTTCTTTTAGGGCACCTGGCTCGGCACCCGCACTTTGGCGTGTTCCCGAAGGTGCTTACGGCAGCGCTGCTGGGTCACGTGGTGGGCCGGCTGTCGTACTCGCCCGACTGCGACGCGCGCCTTCGCGACCTGCCGGGCGGCAGCCGCCTCGGCGACCTGATGAGGCAGTACCACGCGGCCAACAACCCTCCGCCAGACCCAAAAAAACGCTGACCTCATCAATCTAGTGATTTGTTTGAATACAATAAAGAAGTCGTTGTTATTGACATGGTGTTCATTGTCCTTCCTTTCACCTAAGTAATTGGCGTATCTGGGGTTCTTTTTCAGGGAGGGCCTGGCCCCTAATAATATTAAAACACACCACTCTCCTCTCTAGTATGATCACGATGGTATTTTAATTTTTACTGCAAATGTACCTATCTACACCTATTTAACGGTTAATATCATTTGAATTGATAAGTAGGTACCTACTTATTATTTGGGATTTCTTGGCGGGAATGTGAAGCAGTTAGCAGTTTTGATTTATTTTCTGAAATTGGCGTTTAGACGACTAATAATGTGTAATAATGGTGAATTATTAACCACTACGTAAGTGTTCGTGAACGTGCACGAGTGTGGGAATGAAACAAAACAGTGCAGCGTGATTCTTCGGATTTTCTCAAGTAGTCCTTTTAAGTCCTGAAGACTAGAGTGTACCAATGTGTGTTACCAGTGATGACTTATGGTTCGGAAACGTGGCCTCTCACTATAAGCCTTAAATACAGAAGCTCAAAGTTACACAGCGTGCTATAGAGATGGCTATGCTCGGTGTTTCTTTACGAGATCTAATCAGAAATGAGGAGATCCGTAAACAAACTAAGGTCGCTGAGTGAAATAGCCCGACGGATTAGCAAGCTGAAGTGGCAATGGGCAGGGCACATAGTACGCAGAACTGACGGCCGATGGGGCAGCAAGATTCTGGAGTGGAGGCCGCGTAGGTACCGGAAAACGCAGCGTGTGACGTCCACCCACAAGGTGGACTGACGACATCTTAAAGGTAGCAGGGAAGCGCTGGACGCAGGCCGCTACCAACCGGGTAACATGGAAAGCATTGGGGGAGGCCTATGTTCAGCAGTGGACGTCCTATGGCTGAGATGATGATGATGATGAGTTCATAATTATGAAGTCTCAGTAAAGCACCACAACTTTACTGAGACTCAAAGGGTGGGAAGGGTGTGAATCCTTCATTATATCATTTAATTAACCCAAGTCCCATGCATCCCACTTTTGGTCCCATTTTGTAACTGGACTCGCTTGAAACTTGAAAATGGCACAAATCAAGTCGGCCTCGACACGGGCCTCGACGTGTATTGCAAAAGAACAAGAAGAAGTACCATGACGTCTTGAATTATTATTTTTAAAGAAAATAATCACAGTTATGGATATCTGTGATAAAAATCTTCACACGTTGCGAACCTAGTCAAAAAAAAGAAAATTGTCATTACATAACGTCATGTGAGTGAATGTCAATGTCAAAAAGATGACTGATCATAATCGTTGAGGTTCTTGAGGTTTATAAATATTTTTTACGAGCTGAGACTGTTTTTGTGACCGATATTGATGAAGTAAGATCAGAATGAATGAGCCGAGTGCGTTTGGTTACCAGGAGGATGGGCAGCTTCAACAAGTTCCGATCCCCGGCGGTCAGGTAAACCCGGTAAGGTTATTTTTATGCGTTGTTGTGCTTGGAATTTTTGATTTCCTGCAGAGCAGGCGATATTATGGACTGAATGAACGTTTCCTTTTTGTTCTGGAACAATTATTGACGATTGATTACCTCCCAAAAGTTCTGACGTCATTATTTTATCAGACATTGAGGTTAATGTCCTATTTATTTGTTTACCAATTATAACCTTACCAAAACTTGTTGTGGAAGTTCAGTCCAGCGTCTGTGTAGTTGTGGTGGATGCTAACGGCTGTGTCGTAGGCGCAGTACAAGTTCTCGGCGGACGAGCTGCGCGTGCTGGGCGAGTGCAACCGAGAGAGCTTCTTCCAACGCTCGCTGCCGCTGGGCACGCTGCTGGGGCTGGGCACGTGGAGCGCCGTGCAGAGCGGTGAGTGCCGCGGTACAGAGGAGACTGGTGTGTGGCCCCCTTAGCAATCCCTTCAGTCAAATTCTATGTTTATCGGTCAAGCCCAAGCTCGTAGCTACATGAAAATGTAGCTTAACGAAACTAGGGGTTTATCTATTTATAATTATATTTTGTAAGTAATTGTGGATGTAGTACCTACCTAGACAATAAATATTTGGTAAATGAGAGGAGTAGTATAAGGAAAAAAGTGTTTATAATGAAAAAAGTACTACATATTAGGTGGACACCAAATGTTGTGATAGATTTTATCAGTAAAACTAGCTGTGCCCGCGACTCCATACTAGGAAACTGCTGCATACATTAATAAACCTTCTAGAAAGCATCCCACTTAACACCAGGTATGATTGTTGTGAAATTCCAGCCTTGTTATGCATAAAAAAAACTTTCAACTATCGCAACCAGCACCATTATCAATATTTCTCCGGCATCTTTTATACTTCTTTCCAAGGGTAATCATAGCTATCATTTAAACTAGCTAAAGCTACCATTCAAGTTTTGTTAAACAATTAACATAGTAAGTAATTTTACTGTTTCAGGACATCTCCGAGCAAATCCAAGGTTTGGTGCCTTCCCCAAATTAACGCTGGCCGTGGTGGTGGGCTACTTCCTCGGCAAGCTCTCGTACCAGTCAGCATGCGCCGACAAACTGATGGCCCTGCCCGGCAGCTACATCGGACAGCTGCTGCGGGATAGAAGAGATGGAAAAATTGGGGGGTATGATGAAATTACTTTTAACTTTTGTTTTATTCTCACAGCAAATAATATCATCCCCTTTCCTACTTAAGATATTTGATTTGCTCTATTTTTACCCAACTGCGCCAGAAGGAGGGTTATGTTATTGAATGAGGTTTGTTGAGATTTTCAGGTTTAGACTAAATTCAGATGGTCGGGCGCCGCTGACGCGCGTACCTTCATATACGTGCAATCATGTCAATTGTCATAATGTAATATTTTTACGCGAGTGAGTTCTCTTCAGAGTGGAGGCGTGGTCGTGGACGTTCCTGAGGGCCGTATTGTTCAGTTATCTAAAGTCTGTCTGTCAGTTACGCGTTTATTATTCACCCGCCAAAGCGCAGAACTGTAATCACGCAGACGCCAAAAGTCCAGCGCACGCGCCTCCACTCTGAATGAGGCCTAAGAATATAGGCGCGTTGACGTGCAACCATCTGAGAAACAGTCAATGTGGTGACTGACTCGTTTATGACATCACTAGCTTTTGCCCGCGGCTTCACCCGCGTCAAATTTAGTTTGTCACATATCGTCATAAATTATAAACTATATGTTATTCTGGGTAAACAATAATATGTTTTATTATTGTTTACCCAGAATAACATATGTATAATTTCAACAAAATCCGTTCAGTAGTTTTAGCGTGAAAGAGTAACAAACATCCAGACATCCAAACTTTCGCATTTAATAAATATTAGTAGGATAGGATAATATTGACTTTAGTGACTTGTAACCTGTTTTGAGACGAGTAAAGTTCCACAGCCTGCGAATATTTCGAGAACCACAGAAGTTTTTAGAGGCTTAAATCTATTAATATTAGTCGGCCGTTTGGTGTAGTGGTTCGAAACGGACTACTATTCCGGAGGTAGCGGGTGCGATTCCCGCACAGTACAAACATTTGTGTGCATGAACATATTTGTTTGTATTGGACTGGGTGTTTTCTATGTAATATTAAGTATGTATTTACAAAAAAAAAGTATTTAAGTATGTTTATATCCGTTGTCTAGTATCCATAGTACAAGCTTTGCTTAGTTTGGGACTAGAAGCGCAGTGTAAAATGTCTAAGAATATTTATATTTAATATGTGGTCCGCAGGACTAGCCAGCCGCGGCAGGCCACGACGATGTTCGGCGCGAGCCCCGGCGACATCTACTCGGACGCGGGGCCCGGCAGCTCGCTGGACCTCGACACCGACCGGCCCATCTTCAGCGACGACACCTACCGCCCCGACAACGAAGGTCTCTAAACTTTATTTACGAGCCCACGCTTTTACTGGTCCCTTTCCCATGGAGACACCGTTTTTGCAGGATGCCCATTTCTCAAGTGCACATTTACACGAACATCTCGTTTGTAGTGCCGCCAACCAGATTTGAACCAATCCATTCAAATCTGGAATTCACACTCACGTGACTTTTAGTTTCGCGGGATTGCCGTGGGAAAGGGCCATAATGTGCAGGGGGCGTCGTGTGAGTTTACATATAACGCATTCGATGTCGACTGCGTAAAAAAGTGACATTAAATGTAGGACGAATTGTACAGTGCTCTTAGCGGATCCGCTTCAGGAACTAAAATCTTCATCTATATTTTTTTAACACGCTCGCTAGTGACCTTTGATGTAAACTGTCACTAAGCCTTGCTTCAAATTGATGTAAGACAAGTGAACCTAGATATTGAGAGGCGAAATAGAAGCATTGTTTGCGCATGTGTGAGATTGCCGCGCTCTCTTAGTGCAGCAGCCATTTATGGCCTGCTCAGAAGTTTATTAAACATATTATCATAATAATTTATGGCAACATTATTCCCTGTTGTTGAATCGTTATTCTGAAAAGGCGTAATTTCGGTCAGATACTTTACCACCTTGCTCACAGAACAAAATACTTACAAAAGAAATCAGTTTTTATTTTTACTTTGATACTTTTTTTGCTGAGCGAGCAGTCTCTGGCTACGGCTGCAATACCATTAGCAAAACACTTTTTAAGTTTTTATAAAAGCCTAATTTTATATCATTCGACTAGGACTTGCACAGCGGGTACTGTATGCACAGCGAATTGTCCCCATGCACGTAGCCTTTGCCCTTTTCACAGACATATAGCGCGGGTAAGGTAATGTAGCCGTAGCATGAGTACCGAAGTCTGAATTTTCGAAAACCCCAAAATACATTTTCAGGAAAAAAACGGCGGTGAAACAAGGATCGTTGCATAGAGGTAAAAATCTCATTTTAACACGTTCTAATGTAAAGCTTATTTGAGGGAAAGAATATCACATAATGTTCTTAACACCTAAGACAGATAGTTATAGGCCCCTTTATAATATGCATTGGTTACACGTGGTGGATGTACTCATAGCTCTTTTTTTTACCACTACTCATCAATGTCACCAAATCAAAGAGGAAGTAGGGGGAAGTAGATATCATAAAAATTATAGAATCGTACGCGTACTGGACCCCGTTTTCTATTGTATAAGAAGAAGATAACGCAAAAATACGTCGCCATTTAGGTAGGTTAGGTAGTTGAACACAAATCAGGCTCTGTACCTCTAGCATGAACAAGTTTCGTCTTCGAATCGTTACCGTATTCGACAAAATTCGATACTCAACCTTCGAATTAAACGATAATGTGACAATTTTGATTCTCAAAATAAGTTTTGTGCAACCATTTCTTATACTAAGTTCACTTTACGACCGTTCACAAGGGCGCTGTTGTAGTTTTCGTAATAAATCTTTCGATGGCGATTCGAATACGCAAACGATTGGAACTCGAAAGTTTTTCGTGTTAGCCGTACTGAGCGCGGCGTTGGTTGCAGGCCCGAGCGCCGCGCCGCTGGCGCCGCCGCGGCCCGCGCTGTCCTACGACGACCTGCGCCGCCAGAACCGCGGCCAGCACTCCGACGCGCGCCAGGACCCCTACAAGTACGTAGCGAACGATCCCAACTTGCCGTGATATGTGTTCGTTTCAGCCCTAACACGTCGACTGCTTGACAGGCTTTTTATGCGAATGGAAAATGCACTGAATTGCATACCCAAAGGTCTGGGGGGCCAAAAGGTTATGTGGGACTCTTCCTCCCAGAAGGGCCTACCCAATAAAAACCAGTCGGGTCTCTGGTTAGGATATTCACAATGACCTGTCCTGCGCGCTGCCCTCATCCAGGCCCTTCCCGCGACCTTCCCCAGACCATCGGTCCACCTAGTGGAGGGTTTGCCCACACTGCGTCTGCCGGCCCGTGGTCAAGAATTTTTCTGCTCCGGCGGCCATCAGCTCTACGAGCTATGTGCCCCACCCACACTTCCACTAGATTTTAGCAATTTGGCGGGCTATGTCCGTCACTTTGGCTTTCCTGCAAATCTCATTTCTTATTCGATTACGCAGGAAAACTCAGAGCATATTATCACGATCTATTGCCCTTTGGGTGACAAAAATTAAAATTTATATAATTGACCGCCTAAAAGCCGATTACGGCAACGAAAGGCCACAGCAGACATGCTACTTTTAGCATCGGCGATTTTGCGACTATATCGACGCTAAATCACCTTTTGTAAGGTACACTATACTAGGACAGATAGGTACATTTTTATTGCATGTTCAATGAAATCAATTTAGAATTCATAGAGGTATTCCACACTGTGCACTGGCCATGTGCACTGTGCGTAGCCGCGCCCGCGCCGGTCCTCGTTTGCCAACTTTACTCCCAGGGGTATCGTGGGTCTGAAGTGTAGTTCTTTGACGAGACCCACGATACCACCAGGGGTATCGCCAGGGGTATCGTGGGTCTGCAGTGTTGGCGACTCTGTATGTTCGTTGCAATATTAAAATCGTGAGATTCTATCCATACAGCACCACGATTTCGCGACTTCATGCGTTCGGTCGCGGTATCGGAATAGCGCGTTTTAGCGACTACTCCGATACTGGATCGGCTACACTCGGCTGGTGGAGAGGTAGAAGCCAAGCTGCCTAGTGCGCAGAGTCAGTAACGTTCAAACGCTGTGTCGATAGCTTCCAAAAAGCGTCTCAATCGTCGCATTGGGGGGTTTTAAGTGTGCGATAATAATATGGTAGCTGCATTCAGTTTCTAAAAAGCGGCTAAGTCGCCGATCGCTGATACTAAAAATAGCATTACATATTAAAATTTCTTAGCGGTTAGAGTCGCTTCTCAAACTAAATTTTAAATAAACAACTTAAAAAAATCGGATCGCCTTAAGCATCAACCACCGCAACGCGTGCAGATCGCTTTCGCCGGCGCGATCAAAGGCCAATGACAGGTCGCGCGACCAGTTCCAGTTATTTAAAAGAAAAGTAGCATATCTGCTGTGGGCCTAACTGATTCCGTCTTTGGTGTAGGATGGACCAAAACGTGCTGCCGCCCATCTCGCGGCCGGCGCCGCGCCCTGCCGCGCCGCACACCAATAAGTACGGCGACGCCATGGAGTGACGCCGCCCCTGTACAATCTGTTCATATTGCAATAAAGTAGTTAAGAGATTCACATCTTGCTTTTATTTTACGAGGTCAAGTGCTTCTTGGAGGTTATTAACATTGGTGATTTGCTTGCATCTTTCTTAAGTCTAACGTTTATATGCCGCTCGTCATTGACATTACTCGATCTCAAAGACTGTTCCCACAATAGCCATTCATTTGTGCGAGTGAAAGGACCTCACTCGCCAAGTGGCACCATCTACAGGGTGGCCGAAACAGTGAGGTCTAAAAGAAAAATTTAGATTCCTTACATCAAGGTGTACCTAAATCACCCCCATGTATACAGGGTGTTTCTTGTAAGGTGTCAAGCCGAAGGCAGGTGATAGGTGAGGACTAGACCTATCGATTTCACCCCCATGTATGTTCTACGATTTTTCGTAGTTTAGAAGTTATCGTTAATTTTGTGATTTTTTCAAATTTCATGACCTAGTGGCTTAATTTTTTTTTATCTTTTTTTTGGGTTGACTTTTCTCAGATTTCTTTTTTTTGACAGATTCCCTATTAGTTGCAGATATTTGAAAAAAATAATCACCTTCCTATCTTTGATGCAAGATACAAAATTTTTGCTAGAAACATAAAAAATATGCTTTTAGCAGAACATTCTAAAATTTTCAACTGAAATGTATGAGAAAAAAAAAGAATTTCCATAGGTCCAAAATAATTTTAAAAACTGAGTTATTGTCTCTAAACGTGTTCTACGTAACGTACACTTTTAGTGGATTGCAAACATTAGTTAGTCCTAAGAAAGTCAAAAACATGTAACGGAATCTCCGACTTACTACTTTAGTAGAGCGATTACAGAAAATAATGGCCCATTAAGTACATGTTTTCTTGTGTTATTATGAAAGTTTAGAAAACTGCTCAGTTTTTAAAATTATTTTGGACCTATGGAAATTCTTTTTTTTTCTCATACATTTCAGTTGAAAATTTTAGAATGTTCTGCTAAAAGCATATTTTTTATGTTTCTAGCAAAAATTTTGTATCTTGCATCAAAGATAGGAAGGTGATTATTTTTTTCAAATATCTGCAACTAATAAGGAATCTGTCAAAAAAAAGAAATCTGAGAAAAGTCAACCCAAAAAAAAGATAAAAAAAAATAAGCCACTAGGTCATGAAATTTGAAAAAATCACAAAATTAACGATAACTTCTAAACTACGAAAAATCGTAGAACATACATGGGGGTGAAATCGATAGGTCTAATCCTCACCTATCACCTGCCTTCGGCTTGACACCTTACAAGAAACACCCTGTATAATACGATTGTGCTTAGTTTAGGAGATAGAGTTAATTTTGTGATATTTTAAAATTTAAGACCTAGTAGGTTTTAAACATTTTTATCTATTTTTTTGGTTGACTTTTTTCGGATTTCTTTTTTGAAGCCGGGACCTCTGAAACTTACCTCTTACCACTTGAAGACAGAGTCAGTTGTTACATTTTACTGTTACCCTTGAAATACCTACTACAGTGAGAAGAAGAAGAAGGGATATTTGGTTTATGTTCATTAAAACTTACTTAAAATAACAATGTGTTCCAGAATTTGGAGGTAGGAAGCCATAGTTCCTCTGTAGTTGAAGTTCCCTTCCACCTTCAGCCTAATCATCAGGTGTGATGAAGGGCAAGAGCTTCCTCGTTGAGAATAAAGACATGTTCAGTCTTTGCTTTAAATCTGTTCTACGTAATGTAAACTTAGAGGATTCCCAATATTAATTCACTCTAAGAAAGTCAAAAACATGTAACAGAATCTCCGACTTACCACTTTAGTGGACCGATTACAGGAAATAGTGGCCCATTAAGTACATGTTTTTTGTATTATTATGAATGTTCAGGAAACGGCGCAGTTTTTAAAATGATTTTGGACCTATGGAAGTTCTTTTTTTTACTTAAACTTTTTTCTTTTTTTCACTCCTCAGTGTTTTGGCCACCCTGTATGTAGTATTCTAGACCTAAATAACTAAAATACGAAGCCTGATCCCGAATTACCCACCAGCTGGCGCCACTATTATCACCACTTGCGAGAGACAAAACTACTCGCTAGTGGCGCCCTCATTGTTTTACATTTAATTTTACTCTATCGCTAATGTTTCCTTTATTTATCCGTCTTTAGAATGAGAAACGATCATTATAAGGTTATAATACAGTTCAATAAACCTACACATGGCTAGGTAGCCATGTAGGTTTATTGAACTGTATTTGCTTTCACCAGTTGGCGCTACTGGCGAGTTATGGGAAATTAGAGCTGCTAACCTAAAGATTGCAAATGCGAATGTAAGGTAGCCCCTATTTAGTGTATTGGCGTCTGGGTACGTGCTTCAGCGCTCACTAGGTGGCGCCACAGTCTTAGCCACAAGCAAATAACAGGCCAATATTATTATTGGCTAGTGGCGCCAAATGTTCAGGGCCATTATGGAAAATCCCATTGCGAACTGGGTATAAACTTTACAAACCATATCGTGTGTGCAAATACCAACCTGAGCCCCGATTACGGTAATTTTTAACGTCTACAATCCAGACACGATTCTCTATTCTGCGATACGGTTGGTCGTTCAACAGCGTACGTCAGCTGTTTTGACTAATCGTATCGCAGAATCGAGAAGCGTGTCTGGATTGGAAACGTTAAAAGTTACCGTAATCGGGGCTCTGATACTGAACCTCACTACTCAGTTTCCCGTCCATGTCTGTCGCCAGAATCTGAAATATTCAATTCGCACGGGCTCAACAGTCGCTTTGCAAACATGGCGGATAGCGCTTTAAATTACATATCAATAAAACGCACAGCATTGATGAGAGTGATATTAAAATCTTTATTTCGAACAATAATCATACACTTAAAATTACCAAAACAGAAATATATCTTTACAAATTTACTTTTACTGATTCATTCGCATCAATACACAGACGGGTTATATTTGGCGATTAAATGAAGTACTCTAATGTACGGATGCGAATCAATCGGTAACAAACGGCTGCGGACAGACAGCGGGGCCGCCCAGCGTGGCCCTTTTCACATGACCCGGTTGCCGGCTAACCGGCGCCGGGTACCGGGTGGTGAAATGTATGGGCATGGTACGTAGCTTTCACATGTACCGGCGTAATTAATCCGGCATGCCCATACACTTCACGACCGGGTACCCGGCGCCGGTTAGCCGGCAACCGGGATGTGTGAAAAGGGCCTTACTGTGACCGCGCGACTGCCGTCCGCCATCCGGCCACGAGACAGGCCTGCTGTTTGACCCACCGTCCTATTGCCACGACACAACCTAAACAAATGTAGGTAATACAAATCCCACAAAAAGTCAACGAATATCCCAACTACAATGGCGCGAAAGAACGCAACAGTCGTGGCCTCTGACAAAGGTTAGTGATAATGTCCTACTAGTAAATATATTGACGATTAAACAGCTTTGCAATGAGCTACATCTTGATTACAAATCCGATTACACGAAGAGTTACTAATTGAACAGGACTCGGCGCATCGAGCGCCAGGAAATAACGTGCACGTTTAGGGAAATATTGGCATTTTATTGAAATCATAGACAATTCCTTTAACTTGACTAGATAGTATTATTACTTTCTGAAAATATTGGACAAAGGCGTCGCCGAAAGCAGCTCCGCTACAATTTGGTAGAAGTTGAACTTAACCAAGCCAAGTCCGGATGAAGAAATATTCTCACTGCTCTTAAAGAATAATAATTTAAAATCAATACATAACGTGAAATATATTATAATTTTATTGTCGAATAGCGGTGCTAAGTCGCACCGCGTATCTACCTACCCTACGCCCAATGTCGGTAATCTTATAACACAACTTGTACTTATCGGTGAGGATATTTCATCATAATACAAAAATACTCAAACGAAACATGATCGTGACAACAGTTCCACTCCTAAATTAACTAATATCAGTAAAAAATAGTGTTATACATACGGTGTATGTATAATTTGAATAGAAATAAGTATAAATACAAAAATTGGTCATTTCAATAATAATACAACGACAGTATATAGAGCTACAGTGCATGATACAATGACAGTTACGTGGAATCACATTTAGTTATAAGAATATCGATATACGATTCTATTGGTATACAGTAGTAGATATTACAATTAAAGTGTTGTTTACGAAACCCTTTAAACCCTTGTTGAAGCGCCTCCCAGAGCAGGCGCCTCGAAGACAACACTCTAACTGTTGCCATAAACAATCTAACATTGAATCACGACATAAACATGTTGGTTTGCTCTTAAATTGATAAAAACTGTGCGATAGTGATAAGATACAACGTTATAGGTCTTCTCACTTCGCAATACTTATCTAAATTGATTATTATTTATTTATTTCTAATATAACATCACAAAATAAAACTCAAATAGGTAACAAAAGTTAACTTAAGTTGTCTCTTGACAAATAACATTAATTTTGCTCTGTTCCTATATTTAGAAACTTTTCGTTTCGCATATGAACAGTTATATTAAGTATAATACTACATAATTTCCTAAAGAACAATATCATATTGAAATGTCCGCAGGCAACACGAATTGTATCATGAATACAGGAACTGAGCATTAGAATACAATAGCTAACGATTCGAACCCGCAGTAATAAAAATTCCTCTACATTAGAGAAATGATCTGATGTCAAATCAGGCGTTGTCTGTTACAACTGAGGGTTCGAAATAAAATATCTCTTGGAGAGTACATCGCGAAGTCACTTAAGTGATACATGTTCGATGTAATCTCCTTCGATCTCGAAATAACTGTAACACGACGTAAAACTCAAACAAACTAACAAAAATACACGCGCGTCTTTTGAGGACGCACATCATTTTCAGAAGACCTTTAGAGAAAGCTGGTTTTTCAAGGAGGTGCTTTAGCATGCATAGAAGTATGTAAGTATTGTAGAAATTACAGCACAATCTCGAATACATTCGGAACTTTAAGACGGATACAGCAAGTATACACTTCTAATGTTAATTTAAAGAAATAAGGTGTCATTCTGAACGGTTATCGGAGACAGCACAATCTCGAATAAATTCGGAACTTTAAGACGGATACACCATCATCATCATCATTTCAGCCATAGCACGTCCACTGCTGAACATAGGCCTCCCCTAATGCTTTCCACGTTGATCGATTCCACGAGACGGATACAGCAAGTATACAATTGTAATCTTAATTTAAAGAAATAAGGTTTCAAAATAAGGTGTCACTTTGAACTGTTAAGTAAGGTAAGAAAGAAGGATGGTACACGAGTAACAAAGTAGATTAGGTCGCACCTCCTTATATGAAGCAGCCTCTTTCGCTTAGGGCAGCGGCCACGGCAGGCCCGAGAAGTTGACGGGCCCGCCGAGCCCGGCGTCGGCCTCCAGCAGGCTCATGATGACCGCCATGGCTGCCTCGCCGTTGCCGTCCAGCCCGAGCGGCGGCAGCGGCGGCGAGGCCGGCGGCGGCGTGCCGGCGGGCGGCGGCGCGCCGGCGGGCGGCGGCGAGCCCTCGGCGCCGGCGGCGCTCAGCGGCACGTTGTTGCGCACCTGGTACGACGACGACATGTCCACGCCCAGGATGTTGTCCACGCCCAGGATGTTGTCCACGAGCGACGCCTGCTCGTACATCGCGTTCGACGACAGGCACTGCGGATCACAGCCGAGCGAGCGCGTTAACCTTTAACCACGCCTTGGTTGAATAGAGCCCACATCAATTTGAACTTTATGTTAAAAACCAATGACTTTTTTTAGATTGGTTAAAATTTCAGGCAGATGAAGAGTTGACGTGTATCAGGGGGCTGATAACGACTAGAAGAGAATAGTCAGCTCCTCTAGTTATCACATCTAAGTAAGATACCGCTAAATTTCATAAAATGTAGGATTGTAGTAACACGTCGACAACAAACCTAGGTATACAGTGTCAGCCCAAAACTCCGCTACAAGAATGACGTTGCGCACAAATGCATAGACACGAAGTCTATCTTTAAGTCGTTACAATTAATTGAATTTAACTGTACTTTAACTGGAGGGGGGCTATCGTCCTAAAGCTTCGCGACGCTTCAGCTCTTGGTCCGGGGCCCCCTTCGGGTTGGGCACCTGTGGCATTTGCCAGCCCTGCCACCTCACAGCTACGGCACTGGCACACGCACCTGCTGGTTGAAGACGGCGTCCTGCAGCAGGTCCTGCGGCAGGTCGGGCGAGAACTCGGCGGACGCGCGCCGCAGCGCCTCCTCGGCGATGGCGCTGCCGATCTTGTGCGACTCCACCTGCGAGTCGATCAGCCGCTGCATTTCCGCGTCCGCCTCTACAATGTATCACCCCGACCCGTCAGTTTCAGAGCTCCAAGCGAAGTTTTCACTCAGCTCTTAGGCCCAGAACACGCGGTGAAACGCAATGAGGGCTATCGTTTTTATACTTAACAATTGGCACCCCTGACGATTGACAGGACCTTACTCTACAGTGGCGCCATCTTGATAAGTGCAAATGCGATAGTCCTCCTACCACTTTAGCGCTCACCAGTTGGCGCCACTATCTTCGCTACTAGCAAGTGACAGGACCTTACTCTACAGTGGCGCCAACTGGTGAGCGCTAAAACGATAGCCCTCATTGCAATGAAACTGCAACCTAGTTACTTTTGAGTTGCATCTAAGTGTCTGCCATAGATTCCGTTGATTGAGAGACCACACATGACGCGAAACCGATTTCAAACTGGTCGCGTCATGTGTGGTCAGTTGCAGTTTCGTCGCAATTGCGTTTCATCGTGTGTTCTGGGCCTTACAGTCAGCGTCAATTAGTTTGCGACGGCCAAAGACCCCAAAAGATCGCAACACGTCTTTGTTACTTGGAATAAGGTTGTGTTAAGGTCAACTTTTTGGCCACTTCAGGTGTCCAAACTAATTGACATTGACTATACCTGTTACTATCAGCTCCTTTCAAGCTAAGTGATTGATAAAATTGTATCAACCAAAGGCGTGAATCAAACGAAGCGAGTAAAGACTCACATTTGAGTCGAATTTTGAAATCCATATGAGTATAATACCGAATGGAGTGCAGGTATTTTAGTAAACAATTACCTACATAAAAATTGCTCATGCAGTAAAATAGAAAATTTACTAGTAAGGTATAATATTTAAAATGTAACTCACATTTTAAATTGTACATAGTAATTATTACAAAAGTATTTTTGAAAGCATCGGCCATTCGAGAAGAATCGAAATTCAAAAACATACTGCAGCGAATAGAGAAGCGAACTTTGTACGTGTCTGTGCTGCCTTCGGGTATATTTTCTTAACAGCTGTGATTCATTATTAACCTGGTATAGAGTCAAAATCGCGATGAGTTTACGAATTCTAACCGAGGTCAACACTATAGGTAGAACATAACTAAAAGTAAAATACAAAATACTCGTTGGACAATCTAAACCAACTTCTTTACCAGTACAATAAATGAACTTTATATTCCGTTTGATTAAAGACAAGACAAGTATTAATTAAAAATATGAGCAGCCGAAAGCAATCGGTCAGTCGGACACATTCGCGCAGCAAGCACAGAATCGGCTGCGTAACATTACGGGACACGCACAAGCTTCCAAACGGCACAGGCTGCACAGTGCAGACAAATTGTAACATTTATAACATTATAATAAGCCAAAATGTTATTGAACCTACACAGTTCAAAAATGATAATAACAAAACTATCGACTGAACAGTCAAATGCATATATTTTTTTTATCTTACACTTTAAAGTAGTTCAAAAAATAAAAAAATCTGATACATACTGTAAGTGAAAAATACGAAGAAAAATGACAAAAATACACGCTTTTGCTACAGTTACTTCGATTCCTCATCAAATTAAGCTTAAATTAGATAAACTTATTGAACTAACGAGGTAAATATTATAGAAAAGGATGGAAAATGTATGTGATAACTGCGGATAAGGCTGGTTTTACCTGACATGAAGACATTATGGAGCTGCAGCAGTCGGGAAAAAATATTGTTAAAGTTAGAAAAAAGGCTATGAAATGAAAAATTGAATAATACTAGCAGGAGGATGAAGAAGTCCCTGGCACTGTGAATGATGTAGTTTTCGGCTATAATTATTTCTGAAACACTGATCCTAAGAGTCATGTTAGATTTATTAGTAGCAGTTTAGTTTTACAGATCTTAACTCATTGTATAGCCTGACCAGGAACATAAAAACCCTGGCATAGAGGCGCTTCAATTGCATTTGATAGTGCAACACTGAGTACAGTCGTACCTGTGTTAAATTAATAGGCTAACTATATGTGTCAGGATTCAGGATTACGGGCTAATTTGATTTTTTCATAAATTAACGAAAAAATCTGGGGGCACGGCAGTGCCCCCACCAAGTCGAGCAAAAAAGCGGCACGGCCGTACCATCCTTTTCTCGAAGCAATTCAGGCCATTTTCGACCGCCTGTAACTTCGTTGTGGATAAAACTAGAAGGCTGAATTTTCATTAGCTATGCAGGCATTGTAAAGACACGGTATATTTAAAATTTCATTCAATTTGAATCAGTAGTTTAAGAATTATAACGGGTCAAAGTTACTTAATTTTGTCACTCACTGACTGACTCACAGGGCAAGAGCTTCCTCGTTGTGGATAAAAAAAAATTCTGTTCAGTTATTGTCTCTAAATGTGTTCTACGTAACGTAAACAAGGGATTGAAAACATTAGTTAGTCCTAAGAAAGTCAAAAACATGTAACGGAATTTCCGACTTACCACTTTAGTAGAGCGATTACAGAAAAAAATGGCCTATTAAGTACATGTTTTTTTGTGTTATTATGAAAGTTCAGAAAACTGCGCAGTTTTTAAAATTATTTTGGACCTATGGAAGTTCTTTTTTTTTCAAACTTTTAAGTTGAAAATTTTAGAATGTTCTGCTAAAAGCATATTTTTTATGTTTCTAGCAAAAATTTTATATCTTGCATCAAGGATAGGAAGGTGATTATTTTTTTCAAACATCTGCAATTAATAGGGAATCTGTAAAAAAAAAAAAGAAATCTGAGAAAAGTCAACCCAAAAAAAAGATAAAAAAATTTAAAGCCTACTTGGTCATAAAATTTGAAAAAATCACAAAATTAACGATAACTTCTAAACTACGAAAGATCGTAGAACATACATGGGGGTGAAATCGATAGGTCTAGCCCTCACCTGTCACCTGCCTTCGGCTTGACACCTTACAAGAAACACCCTGTATATCTAAGCATATAGTACACAAGATCATATGACCAATTGATAGTTGCGTGTCAGTTTGCCGGTAACATTGATTGTTATTTCTTTGGCTATAATATAAAAGGCTGGCTTGATAGCAATAAGTATATTGAAAACTAGCTGACCCNTATATAGAAGAAAGATAAAGATATACTGACTTTGCTTGAAGAGGTCGAATTTCTGCTGCGCGAGGTCGGGCGGCGTGTCGGTCTCGCTGACCACCGTGTTGTTGGCCACCAGGCACTCCACGTCCTTCGTCCATGGGTTCCTGGAATGGACCATAATGAGTGAAGCTGATTATCTTGCTACGAACATGATGAGAACACTTTTTACGAATCGGCACATCTTTGAGCTTTGATCGGCCAAGACTGAATTGGGAGAAGATTGAGGTTGGGGGATATTTAGCGGGTAGGCCCTTTTCTTCTGGAGAGGAGAGACGCCTAATCAAAGCGGTAAAAGTGTTGTTGAGTTGTCATGCCATCATGAGAGGGTCGACTGGTCCGTTGTCGTGGTACTATTCTGAACAGTGTTGTGGTATCAAGTCATGTGTCTTGGCAGGATCTTAATTTCGAACTCCTCCTATGTGTTTCTGATCAATTTAGTTGCGGTTCCAATCACAGTTTTAAGGCCGAGTTGCACCATCTTGCAACAAGACAAACTGGACGTTTGACTTGGTTTTCACTGGTTGTTTTTAATGACAATCGAGCTGTAAATCCCAGGATCTTCGTATAGAAACTACAGGTGAGAAAAGTAAAGAAGTACATAAAACGGTTACGGACGGGTCTGGGTGTTACTATGTATAATATGTATCCCATCAAAAACAATACTTGTCAAAAAAACCAAGTCTCGCAACTCAGTTGTTCTACGGTAAAAAGTTGTGAGATCCATGTAATACCAAGTCCAGGCCAGGAAATCTTTAACGTTTTACATAAATTATTGACTTGGCCATCGCACTAAATAATTTAATTTACTCGTGTTTTCATGCGATGGCCAAGTCAATATATTTATGTAAAACGTTAAAGATTTCCTGGCCTGGACTTGGTATTACATGGATCTCACAACTTTTTACCGTAGAACAACTGAGTTGCGAGACTTGGTTTTTTTGACAAGTATTGTTTTTGATGGGATCTCATTTCTTTTTGTATTTTGTACACAGCAGTTATGTATCTAGAAAACTGGACCGAAATTGAAAAATTTTACTCGACTTGGCGGTTGCACTACCGTGCCCCCAAATATTTTAGATTTTCCTTGATTCATACACCAAACACTACTTATATTCCAAATTTGAAGCTTCTAGGTCTGCTAGAAGTGCCTTAGAGTTTTGATGATCGGCGAGTCCGTCAGTGAGTGAAAAAATTAAGTAACTTTGATCCGTTATAATTCTTAAACTACTGGTTCAAATTAGCTAATGAAAATTCAGCCTTCTAGTTTTTTCCACAACGAAGTTACAGGCGGTCGAAAATGGCCTGAATTGCTTCGAGAAAAGGATGGTACGGCCGTGCCGCTTTTTTACTGGACTTGGTGGGGGCACTGCCGTGCCCCCAGATGTAAGGACAATCTGGTCAGGTGGGTATTATTAAACGGCTGCAGGTGCGGTTTTGTTCCCCAGTCGATGAAGCACCTGATGTCGTGCCATGAGTGCTCAAGCAACTGCACTCAGGAGGATTTGATGAGTGCTACTGACTACGCCACTCTTGTGGCGGAGTTTTGGGCTGACACTGTGCAGGTTTGTTGTCGACACGAAAAGAAGAAGATATGTATGTATTAAAAAAAAGTATTTAAGTATGTTTATATTATCCGTTGTCTGTACCCATAGTACAAGCTTTGCTTAGTTTGGTACTAGAGGCGCAGTGTAAAAGGTCCAAGTAAAAAAAAGGTCTTGGTAGAGTTCAGGCAGCTAGGGTTGCCAGGCGTCCGGCTTTAGTCTGACATGTTTGGCTTTTTACGGTCTTGTCCGGCTAAATATTATCTAGTCCGGCCTGCCCGGCTTTTTATGTGGCTGCGGCGCCAGTCGAAAGTCAAGCCACGGAATATTGATAATACCTATATTGGGCCTGGCAACCCTACAGGCAGCGATACTTCTGCAATGTCCTAGGGCAGGGATGGCGAACCTTTATGTCTCAACGTGCCACTTTTCCGAAAAAAATGTTTGATGTAGTCATAGACGTGCCATCAAATAACACCTAATGCTATCAATGAGGGGTATAGATAGTACAAGTTAAATTGTGTGATTGGTGGCGTGCCCTAAATATTGTGGCGCGTGCCATCGATGGCACGCGTGCCATTGGTTCGCCATCCCTGTCCTAGGGGTTCCAAAAAAGTCAGTAACTGTTACATATAGGGCACGTACTTGAAGGGCTTGAAGTGCGTCTGGATGCGCGCGTAGGAGCCGTCCTTGCGGCGGAAGGAGTAGGGCGGCGTGTGGAGCGCGTCCCGCCGCAGCAGCGCCGCCTTGTGCGTGCGCGCCACCGCGCCCAGCTCGGCGCCGCCCACGTACTCGTACAGGCTGGTGCCCAGCAGCTCCTGCGGCAGGAAGCCCAGCGCCAGCGTCACCCTGCCCCGGAACAGCCAGCGTCACTCACTTCATTATACACATTTACGTGTAATAGCATTGACTTAAGTCCGGCCGCCGAGTAGATAGAATTCCTTCCAATGACCCCAAGCTACCCATCCTTATTGCTCGTGTGTTATTCCAGTCGCGACTGTGCGACGGGCGGCCGCAGTGAGTGTGCGAGCGCGACACTAATATAATTACGCGCAAGCGATAAGAATGGGTAGCTTGGGGTTATTGAACAGAATTCTATCTGCTCGGCGACCCGACTTTAGTTCGAATCTGCTAACTTGATATTTTTCTTTGAAGTTCTGCTAGCTCTACAAACCTAGTAGCCCTTATACCATCCTATATACTAAACTAGACACATTAACATTAATTACATTTAATAGTGTTATTATTCAATATTTTGATCCAGCTAAATCAGAATAAAAATGACTTTAATTAGCAAATGAATTATAGAAAAAAAATACTACATAAATTGTCAATCTTGAAGTATTTTCAAACTTTGAAAGTACCTATGTCTTTCGAAAGATTGTGGTACTTCAGACATTCTTTTGATTAAGATATACCTATTCTGGTGTCAGTCTGTGGGTAATCAAAGCTTACAAGTTGAATTTTACCCACGTCTCGAAGTTCGATTGAGCTGAAATTTTGCCTATTCGAAAGTCAGATGATAATGCATACGTCATTATGGTGCAAAACAGCTGCATCTAAATACACATCATGACAGATATCAAGAAAAAAGTAAACTGGGGAGAGCCACTCTTTTGCAATCGTGGTGTCACAATAACATCTCAGTCAGCATACATGTCATGACCCATAAAAATACGACCATTGAGCTGGTATCCAGACAAATAGGCTCCATTTTTAGTGAAATATGAGGTACTCACATAAATTATTGTCTTTGTACTTAAAATATTTTTGTTTTTGTATTTTAACTACCCTTAGCTTAATCTTACCCCCCTCCCCTTTTTACTTGTTGTTTCCCATCCTCCAACTAAGGGTATGCCTGACCTCGTGTATGCTGAGCCTCATCCTTTTGCTTCTTATGTTTTTTAATATTTTTTTATATTTATATGTTTGCAAAGCATGTTAAAACGAGACAATAAAGTATTATCTTATCTAATAAATATCACTCTCCACCTAAAAAAACTGACCTCTGATCCACGAAGAGGTACTTCCCATCGGTGGCGTGCCGCGAGACGTACTGCAGGCGGCGCGTCGGCGGCGCGAAGGGCGGCGGCGGCGGCGGCGGCGGCGGCGCCAGGTCGGGCAGCGCGCGCCCGACGGCCACCAGGCACGACAGGTTGCACGCCTCGTCCTCGCCGCCCTCGGCCCCGCCCTCACACATCTCCGCCGGCGCCCAAGACTTCAAGTAGCCTGGACAGAGCAGCCCTATCAACCCCACAGACCAGGGATGGCCAACCAATGGCACGCGTGCCATCGATGGCACGCGCCACAATATTGAGGGCACGCCACCTATCACAAAATTCACTATAAAATAAAATAGTAAATAAGTCGTCCGTTAGTGCCACTGTGGGTGTCGTAAGAGGCGACTTAGGGACTACACATCAAACAGAGAATGGGCAGCAGCGCTCTCTGAAAAACATCAATCTTTTAAACTGCGATCTCCAACCCGCCTGCCAAGCGTGGAGATTATGGCAAAACCCTCCACTATAGTGGAGGAGGCTCATAGTCCAGCAGTGGACTGTAAAGGGCTGTTGATGATGATGATGATAGTGCCACTGTAAAGTAAGGCTGTGGTAAGGCCTTGTCACTCGCCAGTGGCGCCACTTGTACTATACTCCTCATTGATAGCATTAGGTGTTATTTGATGGCACGTCTATGACTACATCAAACATTTTTTTCTGAAAAGTGGCACGTTGAGACATAAAGGTTCGCCATCCCTGCCACAGACACTTCGACTAGTCGGCCGGTGTCAAGCCCCAGAAGGGGGAGAATTGATTATGAGAAGGGACATGGATCAGATAAATTATAGGGAGTCAAGCAAAGCGCCCGGGGAAAAGAGCCCAGAGCAAGTACCCGCGCGCTCTCCCGAGATTCGGTTCGTACGCCGTGAGGCAGGAAGAACCATGGGTGGTGGTGGGTTAGTCGGCCGTTTGGTGTAGTGGTTCGAAACGGACTACTATTCCGGAGGTTGCGGGTTCGATTCCCGCACAGTACAAACATTTGTGTGCATGAACATATTTGTTTGTATTGGACTGGGTGTTTTCTATGTATAATATGTATGTATTTACAAAAAAAAATATTTAAGTATGTTCTATCCGTTTCTAGTCTAGTACCCATAGAACAAGCTTTGCTTAGTTTGGGACTAGAAGCGCCGTGTAAAATCTCCAAGGATATTTAAGTATTTATTTACTTTACGACGCTCGTCTATGAATCAAAGAAATCATGATATCACTCTTCGGTCAGCTACTTTGACATTGAGTCGTAAATTGTCATGTACCGTTAACGCCCCACAGACACTTCGAACAACAAGTCGAAGCAATCATGATGTCACTCTTCGGTCAGCTACTTTGACATTGAGTCACAAATTGTCATATACCGTTGATGGGATCATTCTCGCTGGTCTAAAGTCTAACATTACTCTCAAGATATTTTTCAAGAAGCCGTGATTGGATAATGACATGGTAATGATATCTTGGATTAAATGGCATATTTCTGTAACACAATTATAAATTCAAACGTGATTCTTGATCTAAAAGTGAAATGTGTGACATAAATAGATTCCATATTATAGAGGTAACTGTAAACCCTCGTGGTCTTACTTCTGATAAGTAAACACAACTTTTCTCTCCTCTACAACATCTGTTTGTCTAGCCAAGTCTGGTCTTCTTTATTCCCTGAGAAGTTGATGTTCTCTACTCTCTGGATTGGGATGGAGGTATGATTTGGGTTGATTCAGATGATGATCCAGATTTAAAATGACTTTGGATTGATGATGACTGACCCCGATACCCGGTGAAATCTAATTCAGTCATTATGTCAAAATAATGCTAAAAATAGAAATAGAAAGAAATAGAAAAACCTTTATATGACACGAAAACACAATTGAAATACACACAAATATTATTACTACTATAGTCTGGTCCGTGGGCACGTAGAATTTGGCCAATGATCCCTAGCTACCCATCCTTATCGCTCGCGCGTAATTATGTTGCTATCGCGTTCACACATTCACTGAGGGCGCCCGTCGGACAGTCGCGACAGCAATACAGGGTGTTTGGCGCATCGTGTGCCAAAATGATTTGGCGGATAGAATGGGTCATTTCCTATATTTTCAGCCCCCATAACACGTTCCATGCCAGGCGGCTACTTTTAAATTAATTTTTTTAGTAATTTCACCAAAATACCCAAATCGCATCATTTAATTTCGATTAAAAAAAAAACTACTAAGCGCAGCCCTAAAGTAAATATTTTGTTTTGACGTGCATTAATGCAGGGTTGCATCAAATCTAAATTTATTGGCAAATATCATCTAGTTTTTTTTTAAATTCAGCTTTGAAGTTTTCCGAAAAGTTAAAAATGGACTGAACATTTAAGTTTACAAGGGTATAATTTTTTTTTTAAAAGAGATAGCGATCTTCGGATTTTATCAAAACTTCTCTAGTCTATCCTCATTCAAACGGTATACTAATCTTGTTTAAATAATAACAACAACTTCACAAATTACTTAAATTAGTGCATTGACTCTACTCGGACTGATTTGCGAAATTTGTGTTTGGCCATTTTGAACAAAATTTGTAATAATTAATAAACGATCAAAATAATTATTTTCGTCTTTAAATTCAAGAAATCCACATTGAAAAACGATTGGGAAAAGGTTTTTACATTGCATAAGATAAATATTTTTTACCTGTAGGTGTTAAACGTGCTATTCACACATAAAGGGGCTATAAACACAAATTTCGCAAATCAGTCCGAGTAGAGTCAATGCACTAATTTAAGTAATTTGTGAAGTTGTTGTTATTATTTAAACAAGATTAGTATACCGTTTGAATGAGGATAGACTAGAGAAGTTTTGATAAAATCCGAAGATCGCTATCTCTTTTAAAAAAAAAATTATACCCATGTAAACTTAAATGTTCAGTCCGTTTTTAACTTTTCTGAAAACTTCAAAGCTGAATTTTAAAAAAACTAGATGATATTTGCCAGTAAATTTAGATTTGATGCAACCCTACATTAATGCACGTCAAAACAAAATATTTACTTTAGGGCTGCGCTGAGTAGTTTTTTTTTAAATCGAAATTAAATGATGCGATTTGGGTATTTTGGTGAAATTACTAAAAAAATTAATTTTAAAGTAGCCGCCTGGCATGGAACGTGTTATGGGGGCTGAAAATATAGGAAATGACCCATTCTATCCGCCAAATCATTTTGGCACACGATGCGCCAAACACCCTGTATAATTACGCGCGAGCGATAAGGATGGGTAGCTAGGGGTCATTGGACAAAATTCTACGTGCTCACGGACCGGGCTTTAACACATTGGTGTCCATTTGAAGCAGAAAATGGTTTTATATCTAAAAAGGAATCATGACTCACCAGTGCACTGCACCACGCAGTACTTCCTCTCGTTCTGCTTCTTGCGCAGCTTGGCGGTGGGCTCGGCCTCCTCCTTGACGAGGGGCGCGGGCGCCGTGACGGTGGCCGACGGCGCCGCGGCCGCGCCCTCCGGCGGCGCCTTGCACTTGATGCGGCAGAAGAACGACCGCCGCGCGCCCGGGCACAGGCGGGACGCGCCCGCTACCACGTCGGCTTTTACGGGGAGCATGGCTGCAAAGGCCCGGTAAAATGCATGTGTCAAACAAGGCTGTATGTTTCTTTAATAAAGATAAATAAAAAAAAATAATAAAGTATCTAGTGTTAATCGGGGATATAAAAGTTTGGCAAAATTATGAATAATCATGTGGAGCGACTATCCGCAGACGATGTCCACAAAGACTTCACAAGTATTTATTTGTGAATAGGGATGTTTCCTGGGTAAAAAAGCAAGAGTTTTAATTAGTCCGTCAGTAAGCTTATCAAAAACTACTCGACACATATTTTTCACTTTTTAAAACTAATGAAAATGTAAAGAGATAAAGTGTGCCAAAGTTCTAAAGAAAAAGCCCGTGACGTCAGTGAGTGCGTAAAAGTGCAGCACTTTGTGACGTCGCGCGGATCTTCAACGCACTATAACTTTGAAATTATTTGTCTGTAATCAACTTTGTAAATATACGTGTCCAATATTTTTTTATATTAAAACTAGCTTTCCGCCTGCGGCTTCGCCCGCGTGGAATTTTGTCTGTCACAGAAAAACTTTATCGCGCGCGTCCCTGTTTCAAAAACCGGGACAAAAACTATCCTATGTTCTTTCCCGGGACTCAAACTATCTCTATGCCAAATTTCATCAAAATCGGTTGCGAGGTTTAAGCGGGAAAGCGTAACAGACAGACAAACAGACAGAGTTACTTTCGCATTTATAATATTATAGTTGGGATTGACGGATTGAAAAATTTTTTTTAGGAAACTAGCCTATCTCAAAGATAAAAGTAGTCTCATTCGAAAAAGTTGACCGTTCTACAAGTTTAAGGATTACCAGAATAGATCACTAGCTTCATACATATAATAACAGACATAGCTGCAATCGCTGAAGAATATGTAGGAATCTTCTGGCCAGCAACCACAACTACTTACCAGCCACCTATGGGATGGATCGAAACTTTAGGCCGAGATATGATGAGGCACTCACTCTTGGCGTCGATGAGCCTCTCGCGCGGGCTGAGGTCGGACGAGGACAGCTGCTCCTTGACCTTGGCTACGTCCTTGGGATGCAGGATGTCGAATAAACTCTGGCCCAGCAGCTCCGACTGAAAGAGCATGGTTTATTTCACGCAATAGCAATTAAGGATGAGGAAAACTCTCAGATCATAGAAGGGAATAGATGTGAAACGGGGGCGTGGCGCGTGTCTCCGCGATATGCCCAGAAACGAACATCGCCCGCGACGCCAGGTTAGTCGCGATTCAGTCGTACTGAGGAAATGTTCTCCGATATTGTTGGATAATGCGTCGTAACGTGCAATAACATAAGTGAAACGAAGAACTACAGGAACAATGAAGTCATTTACCACATGTAAGTATTGCAAATCCATTGGTATTTTGCTTATAAATAAAAAAAACTAAACATTTTTACGAACGAATTCAGTGCCGTGACATTTACTGCGATATCGAAATTAGTGGTGATAAAAATTCAAACACGTTGTACATTGACGATTTAGTTAGCAACCACTTTATGTCATGCGTAACTACTGCGCAATGTATTTTATTTCTTCCGATATCCACTGACGCGTGAAAATACACAGTACGGCCGCATGTGCCGGTCGTAACATAGTGCAGGGCTCGTGTTCTAATACGGTTTCCTATTATCGATAAATAGAAGTAAATTATTATTTTCTATTTTCTAATTTTGAATGAAAAAATCATGAGTTGCTTGCGATTTTTAAGTTTTTACAAAAACAATAACAATAGTAGAAGGGATTAGTAACTGTCAACTATGTAATTACTATAAGAGCTAGTTGAAAGCCTAATATAGGCATTATTTTTGATAAACATAGGCGGTACGAATTTCGCCATAATTAAAAAGTTAATGCGCGATAGTAGTTAATAATAATTACAGTGATCCTGTTATTATTATTAAAGTAAATAATAATATATTACCAATATTGTAAATACTGGTAAAAATCGCAAGTACCTACTTAACCCATGACTTTTCATACAAACTTTGTCAGTCTATAACTTCTATACTCCATCGATAACGACATTGAGCTTTGGTTGGGGTAAATTAATATAAGGTAACTTCATTTAGTCCCAATAATTGATTCTGAGTTTTTCGTCCATACAAAATGGAACTGACTCCTTTATGCAAAAATCGTTAAAGAACATAATAATAACGTATAATAATAAAAAGGTTTTCATACAAGCATTTTTTAAACCAATTTCGAGCCTTGCCCCCAGGATTTAAAGTATCGATATCTTATCGACTCCATTTTATCTTTCTTCTCTCTAATTGCTTTTTTCAAAGTGTGCGTCACGTCACGCGGCCATTGATTGGCCATAAGGCACGCCTTCTGGCCAATCACAGCACTTTTAAGCCGGTTGCACATGTTGTCGTAGACTCTCAGTCGCTTTGTTTTTACACAGTTGAATGTGTGTGTGGGAGCTGTGGTGGGGGAAATGTGGGGACACTGGTTCTCGTTGTAGTTACGCGCGACTTCATATCTATTCTCTTTCTATGATCTGAGGGAAAACTAAAATAAAAATAGATCTAGACTGACTGCTAATTACCGCATAATAGGTATAGAGCTATGTAATGATTTGGCAAGTCTCATCGCAGAATCATCACGATAACCCGCCGTCCTAACACAGCTGCCCTGGGCGACCTGGGCACAGCCCTCGTTCCTATCACACCTTATTATGTCTAAGTATATTGTTAGGCAGGGCTAGGGCTCTAGGGACATATGTGTCTTAGGGAATAGGGACTCTAGGCTCACTAGGGAGTTAGTTCCCTTCCTGACTTCATATCCCGGGCACGGGAGCGGTGCCTTACAACCACTGCCTCCTGACCGTACAAGGGAATTATTATGAATCTGAAGTAGATTACGAGTAGGTTACTTACTTGGTCGTAGTGGAGCATCTTCTTGACGGAGGCCGAGACGTAGAGCAGCCGGCCGCGGTCGCAGCCCACCACCAGCAGGAAGCAGTCGTGCGCCGCCTGCACACAGCGCCATGTTACATTCTACAAAGCTACTCATTTAGGTCCTTTTTGGACACTTTACTTTCGTTCACCAGTTCAACATTTCAAGACAACTTATCAGCTAAACTAAAAGTGACAGAAGAACTTCTCCTTTTTCTGTCACTTTTAAAATACAGGAAATACAATTTACAAGAATTTAATAAAACAAGTGCAAAAATAAATGATACCTGCTACACTGAACTAGATACTAGACGCTGATGTTAGTTTAACAAAAGGGTTTTGAGCATTATCATCTCTTAAGAAGGAGAAGGCTCTGGAATGGAGGCCGCGTACCGGAAAACGCAGCGTGAGACGTCCACCTACAAGGTGGACTGACGACATCGTAAAGGTAGCAGGGAAGCGCTGGACGCAGGCCGCTACCAATCGATCAACATGGAAAGCATTGGGGGAGATCTATGTTCAGCAGTGGACGTCCTAATTCAAAAATTAAAAACGTTTATTTGCTAAAAAACACAGTAATACACGGTGATAATATTAAATAGGATCATGTGTTTAGTCTGCTCGCAGACGTGCAAAAATTACAGGATTCAATAGTATTAATGTCAAATAATTGATTAAGAAAATGTCAATGTGAAATTAAATTAATAGTATCAATGTCGCCAATTAAAATATTCCTTATAACTATAAAAACATTTGTCCAAAAGCCAGCAAGTCAATCTGCTTTTAAATATAGGGCCTTGGAGTACTTTAAGTTCTTCCGGTAGTAGGTTATACATAACTATACTCGTGTTATATGCATTTCTTTTATAAATATCCTTGCGACAGGGAGGTTGATGCATTAGGTTTAAGTGTTGCTGTCTTATATGAGGTTTTACAGTGACTTCTCTGCCGGTCTTGTAATAGCTGGGGAAAGACTTTACAAAGAGGCAGCTTTCCCTGATATATATGCATGGAAGCGGAAGCAAGCTAAACTGTCTATGGCTGAAATGATGATGATGATGAAGAAGGAGAGTTAGTCCACAAAATATAACAGAAGGTAAAACTCCATACTAAGCGCGCTCGAGCCACGCACACATAGACACCGCTCACGTACGCGTTATTAAGACTGTCTTGGACGAATGCGAGGCGCGACTGCGTTCGCTTGAGTGACGCTGCACACGCGTTCCTAAAATTATTTTGTTTGTGCGGAAATGAGTGAACAACAAAATAGGGGTACCTATAACATTTGTTAAGTAGACGGTTGCTTACACTGAACATTAAAAACTAAATTTTCGTTTTTGAAACTAACGGTTGATTCCGGGAGGTGAGTAAAGTATTTATTTGTATTTCAATAGTTCGTTTAACGTTGACAAATTGAAAGCCAACTCAATTATTACGAATGTCGAATTGTTTTAGAGAGGTTTTAGGAATTATTGGATTATAGTGTCAACCACTCAACTAAATACTAGGTACTTCCTTCTCGTGTATTTGTTTGCAAACTATTACTATAATAACGTACTAAATATAACTGTATAAGTATACGTGGATATCTGTTATTGTTTTTCTTCCATAGTATTAAGAGTAACATTTTTCTATCATAACGAAATAAACGCAACACATGACAAGACAACCCTAGCGCGACGGCCGAGCGTGCGAGCGAGAGAGGTATGCAAAGCGAGGTACATACATGAGTTTACCTTCTGTTATATTTTGTGGTTAGTCTTTGTTTCGGGCTCAGCTGTCCAGCCTGACACTGACCTGCAGGATGAGCGCGTTGAGTTCCCGCTCGGAGAGGTAGGCGGGGCGCGGGCGCGCCGTGAGCGGGCACGCGGACAGCGCGCCGCGCACCGAGCGCAGGTGCTGCACCGCCATGCGCAGCACCGTCAGCTTGTCCAGCTTGCGGGCCATCGCGCCGCACATCGGCACCATCGAGCTCAGCTCCGTGATGTACGTGTTCATCTTGTCGCGCCGCCGCTTCTCAATCTCGCTGTGGTTCTGTCTGTTGGCGCCACGCATTCCTTGTTAAACTTAAGAAGCACAAACTTCGACCAAGTTATAGATCCTACATAGGTCTTAGAGTAGGCGCACACCGTTGATTTTTAGTTGGCCGATAGTTGTGCCCGATTTTAATTTGTATGATGAATCGGCCAAATCGAATCGGCGTAGTGTGCGCACTCCCGTACATGCCCATACTGATCAACTGCCCGACTAAACTATCGGCCGACGAAAAATCAACGGTGTGCGCCTACTCTTACTTGACTTGCACCTATGACTTCAACTCTAGTGATGAAAATTGGTGTCGTGAATGTTTTTTGGCAAAAAAGAAGTTCTGATATCAATTCAAACCTACTTTTTCTAGGCACTTACTTCTTATCAGGCAGGGTGCGCGTGGAGCGCGTGTCGTCGGTGCCATCGTCATCGTACGCGCTGGCAGTGCCGCTGCAACAAACACGCCCTTAAATTTCATGTGGAACTACATCTATATTAAAATACATAAATTAATGTATAAAGTATTTCAGTTTTATCATGTGGGATATGACACAGCAGTCCGCTTTAATTTCCACCAATCATAAAAAAGCACCTATCTATATAGGCACATAATACTATTAACATTTAATAAACACAGTCTAAGTACCAGTACGGTGACGGTGACCTGAACGGTATACTCGCGATGACTCTGTAGAGCTTCGTCTAGCGACAGGCAGCGGAGCGCCAGTCCAAGCCACATATTAAGAGGGCCGCATCCGCGCAGTCTCTCTATGATGATATTGGACTGGACATAGGCAGTTAATGCAAGACATAAGCCTGATATGTGGCACTCGATGATCCATCAGCTCTTGCTATTGCAGCAGCTGAACCAACCAATGGGATATTGGTTTGGGAAAAAGCACTTAACCCACCAGATGGGCCAGAACCTCGATGACAAGTTGCGGCAAGTGCACTGCAGGTACCTGTTTCCTGCCAGCATGATGGACTGGGATGTTTTTGATATCCACATACTCCACACGGTCACAACTATACAAGAGAATCAGCTGGACAAAAGCAGTTCACGCACCAACGAACCACGAATGGCTTCAACCGTATGCTCTCGATGACCCAGCGGGGATTCGCCGTGCGGCAGGTGCCCCGACACACCTTATGGTCCGGGACGTGCAGGGGCCATGTCTTAGTCGTCCGCATCTCGATTACGCACGAGTTCACCGAGTGATGATTTAAAATAATGTCTGATATCACTGGACCATCGGTGAAGTTAATAATTTCATGAAATCAGAAACTGTTTACGGCTGTTTTATCAAAGTGCCACTTGGCCAGTTAAACTTACGTCATCTCAAACGTAACACTCTCACCCCAATTCGCAACTAGCAAGAAATTAAAGTTCAAACTCCCGAGGGTCTAAAGTTTGATTACGACTTACGAAATGAGAAGACGATTGACGCGACACGAGTTTGTACTTTAGCACTGAAACACTGGCTTGAGGAAAAAACAATCAAAAAGTTTGTATAATTCTATTGTAGGGAGGAAGCAGTGGTCTAGAAGACCCAGCTGATAGTCTCCGCGCCGGCGCGGGAGCAGGACTGGCGCGCGGTCCGGGCTAGTGGCCCGCTGCATTTACTGACTTATCGAGAAAAACTATTTGTACGGTTGCCCTCTGTCCCCCGCACCGGCCTCATCAGTTATTGGGCCCGTCCGCTTCTTTTCTCCGAAACGAATACACAATACTTAGATTGCCCAACTTCTAAAAAGTTCGAGAACATTTATATGGTTCCCTCAAATGGTTTTGTCATATGAGGACCTTTATCTGGAATTTAATCGCAAAGAAAAACAACTATATTGAAAACTATATAGAAAAATACAACTAATGCTCTTTTAATTTCAGGGTCTTACAGTTTTGTTTCATTGAGTTATGTAACCCCCCTTTCTTTCGTTACTGCATCTGCCTATTCACTGTAGGTAATCTGCAAGTAATACAAGGATTTAATAGCTATTAAGAGTTCAAAGGTTCCCAATGGTTAAGAAGTCATCTTCAAAGACCTAATCATAACCAAATTGATATGACACAACACGTCACTACCGGTTGAAGCCTTTCAGTAAAAATAGACCATGATATAATGACTTGCCGTCAATTGAAATATCGGAGAACAAACTCACACAAAAAACAAACAAATCAAGCATCGCAAATCCGAACTAAGAACCCTCTAGAAAACTTAGGAGCAACCCGGGTCACTATCTATTAAACTGATTACTACAACTATTTTATATGCAACTGTTAGTACAACTTAGATGGTGGCAATAAAATGAATTCAAAAAATAAACTTGTACATAATAAGCATGTAAATAAATGTTTAGTACGCGCCGCGTGTGTGGGCACACTGGACCGCGGGCACGCACGGGCACGGGGCAGCGCCGGCCGCACGGACGTGACGCCGAGGGGGCGACTAGTGCCACTCGGCGTGCTTTTCACACTGACAGCGTCACGTGATCACGACCCTTACCTCCGAGCGCGGAGCAACGTGACGTACGCGACGTCATTCTTCTCATTTACACACCATCGCCAAAAGTTTGGACTTAAAAGAAGTAACTACGTCATTCGTATTGTTTCATTCAGGGTAGCTTAAACCTTTTTTTAACCTTTTTCTAAAAATAGACTACTCGGCCCGGTTTGTTGTTGGTGTAATGTGTACTCTCCCTGATGTGAGTGATGTTTCAAATATATTTTGTCTTGGCGTCGTCTGATCTTCATGGAATTGCATCAGTTTGCGTTGACTTCCGCCTCTATCGTGTTTTTGCAACACGAATTCACTCAAATATCAGAAATTGCTAGATTTGCAAGTCAACAAAGTGCCAATCAGTATTCGTGCCATTAAGTACCTAACACATTTAAACCAATTCAACCTTCTGATGCAAGTGATGCTGTAGATCGCGTGTGCGCACATTCGCAATTGAGCCATTTAGTTAATAGGGTCTGGATCGTTGATAAGTCACATGTGTACATATACCCGCCGGCAGTCACTGACCCTGGGCTGGAATAAAGTGGCAAGACAACAACGTAGCTGCATTTGATTGAGAAGGATGTAATCAAAAATTATCACTGCATCTACACGCGGCATGATGGAAAGTTTCGGAGCTGAGTTAGTCCTAAGGACGCTACCAAGTTCATAATAATTGAAACAAGACATCTCTCAGACAACACAAGACATCTCAAAGGTGACTGACTGATTGACTGACTGACTGACTGACATAGTGATCTATCAACGCACAGCCCAAACCACTGGACGGATCGGGTTGAAATTTGGCATGCAGGTAGATGTTATTATGACGTAGGCATCCGTTAAGAAATGATTTTACGAAATCCAACCCTAAGGGGGTAGATCGGGATCCACGCGTACGAAGTCGCGGGCGGCCGCTAGTTTTGCATAATACGGCCATATTGATAGAACACTATGTCAGTCAGTTAACCCTTGAGTTACATGATTTAGATGTCTCGTTTCTATTTACGGTGGGTATTCTAACTTGGTCCAATTATATTTAAGACCTCCTCGTAATGTACACTGTGAAATGCAATAAAGATTTGAGTATTGAGTATTGGTAGGGTCCTTAGGACTAACTCAGCTCCGAAACTTTCCATCATGCGGTGTGCAGTGACAGATGTAGTGACGCCATGCAGCGGCCACGTCACGCGCGTCAGCTGCTGCGGCGGTGTGCGGTGTACTCACTAGGACGAGGGCTTGCGCTTGCGCGTGGCGCTGCCCGGCGAGTGCAGGCCGGGCGAGTGCATGTCGGGCGCCGCGGGCGCAGTCAGCGACGCCTCGCAGCCCGCCATGTCGTACGCGTCAGAACTGCTGCGGACACAGAACGATTCGTTACAGTACAATACAATCGGTATGAGATCTGAGACCGGTAGTTGGATAAGGTCTTTGTGTAAAATGGGGATGATGACGTGTAATGAAAGTTATGCAAGACCAAAACCATTATTAATGAGCTTCGTTAGTAATGTGACGCCAAGCACACATCAAGTGGGAGCACCGTGATCAAGAACTACTTTTCAAACAGATAGACAGCGCAATCAACACACAATTTACTACTCTTATCAGTCATAGGTACATCAGGAATACGCTAGAAAGTTTATAGTTTGAACTACTTTATAGTTAGAACGATGTTTGAAAGTGGTTTAGGAGGACATCAACGAGGATCAGTCTAGTCTGAAAGTGACCTTATGATGATGAGTCATCATGACCGACAAGACCTCTCCTAACCTTAATATGCATTCAGTCCGCTCGAATCGAACCAATGTAAATGCCACCAAAAGTACGAGTCAGTTTTTCAAACAACCGATGTATGATAGGATACCTATGTAACGACATTTAAACTGCCCATGATGGGCATCAGGAATTCAGGTTATTTTAAGTAAGAACTCATCCACTGAGATCGCTGAAATTTCTGTTTAAAGACAACAAGACCTATAGCTAATAGTAGATCTTGGTCGTCCAGGTTAGGTTACAGTACGGGATAAGGAATCTTACTAGTGCGACTTCCTCTTGCGCGGGTCAAGCTGCGGCGCGGGCACCGCGGAGTGCAGCGGCAGCGGCTGCAGGCCCAGCGTCAGGTCGGCGCACGCGCCCGCCAGCGCCGCCGCGCCCGCGCCCGCGCCGCCCCCGCCACCGCCCGCGCCCGCCGTCAGCTCGTACGCCGGCGCAGAGCTACGTGGGCCACAACAACACGCGTGTTAGACAGTATGTCGCGCACGCTACACGCGACGCTCGACAATGTAACATTGAGTGCAATGATGAGAAAAACTTATGAAAAACAACATTTGCAGACAACAGAGAAGCTTAAAAACGGATTTACTAACCTCTAAGAGGAAATGAGGGTAGATCTTTAGAATCTTAAGATTTTTTTATTTTTTTTAATGGATTTTATAACGCTCTGGCAACATTGTGATGTGTACATAATCGTTTGGACGGATTTTCTAAGAACTTTCATTTGGTGTGCAGGCGCAAGTCCTCGTTTCCTCTTAAGGTTGTAACAAAATTAACTGATGAGGCATATAATAATCGCATGCACAACTGACTACTATTCTGAAAAGACGATGAGCCATCGCAAATAAGGTCAGAGTTATGAATATTCATGAATTTTGAAACAAAACTGAAGAAGATTGTCTTTGGCTAGCCACCCTATCACAGGCGGACCTGAGTGTATACATCGCTACCTTTCAGACTAGAGGAACTTCTTTACATTAATAACTAGCTGACCCGGCGAACTTTGTTCTGCCTTAATGGCAATAAATAAGCAGACTTTTTTTAATTTCGAACGGGATAAAAAGTATCCTATGTCCTTCTCCTGGCTCTAAACTACCTCCCTGACAATTTTCAGCTAAATCAGTTCAGCCGTTCTTGAGTTATAAGTGGAGTAACTAACACGACTTTCTTTTATATATATAGATAACAAGACAACATCGCACAGCAAGAAGTTTCAAATACATCATTGAGAATTTAACAAACATTGGTGCATAACATAAATACAATAAAGTAACAATTACTTAATACAGATGATGTAATGAAAGTACATATGTATAAATCAACGTGGCCCTATTTTGCCCGATGCATGAATACAACATTTATTTATCAGATAGTTTATCACACTGAGTGATAAGTATGTCATTCGTGTGTTTCATAAGGTGAGAAAGCTAACATTTCTAGAGTCCAAGCAACAGCGCAACTCTACAGGCTACACTTCGGAGAATGTGCGAAGGAATTATACGACCTAATTCCACCAGCCCCCTTCCACCACCGGGGAACCAGACGCAGGTTAGTGTACCATTGGTACCATCCCTACATTGTCGACATTCCTTAACCATCCTAGACGGCATCTCACTTAACACCAGGTGCGATTGCGGTCAAATGCCCGCCTTGTTTTGCATAAAAGAATCTCGATCACGAAAATTATAACTGCTCCGTAAAGACACTTCTTGTTGGTTTGTTTGTAAGGGGTTATCTCTGGAGCTAGATCGATTTAAAATGAAGATGATTTTATTTTAAAAATTCCCGAATATCATAAACTCAATCAGGTACTAAAGAGTTCCAGAAGAGTTCTTGAAGAAGTTACAGTGATTTTGCAGCAATTGAAAACATTACCTTGTAGGCATACAACAAGGGATATTTTAAGAGTTACGAATATGATTATTAATCGTAACTCTTTAGTGAATTTAATGGCGCCCTTCAGACGCCCCACCTGCGGGGCTTCTTGAGTGAGTTACCGTCTCAGTACAAACAATTTGAGAGAAACCCTAGCAGAGTTCCTGCGACAATCGCGGGTCGATCGACTCAGTTCAAGAAATGCTGAGGTAGTAAAGTGGTCCTTTAATTACCGGCTTGTACTTATGAACTTAATATTAGAAATTCTGAAGAAAACTTAGGATTCGAGGAGTTACGCCGATTGGTTCGTGACGACGGACAAAAAGCTAAGAAAATCATTTTACTCAATTATTTCCAACACAAGGTAACTGTTCGGTGGTAGCGTGTCATCTTTCATTTAGTAATTGTTGTAACAACGACAATTGAAATAACAATAAATTAATGCTAATTTATACTTATCACACAAGATAGGACTAAATATTATCTGAATTAACTCTATAGTTTACTTATTTACTTTATGACATGTGAGACATGCACTCAGTTTCTCAACTCTCTTATTTGGCTACCACCGTACTAAAGTAGTATTGTACCACAATGATGTACCTACTACTATTGCATTATTTACACAAAATCAAGAAATGCATGCGTCCTGAAATCATGAAACGCAAAACAAAGCGATCATCCGATTTCATTAGGCAGGTATGAACTGGCAAAAACGATGGATAAAACATCTATGGCTGATGTTGACGTAATTATATTACCATTACTTATTATTCCAGACAGACGCATTCTGGCTGCGTTCAGAATCCAGATTGAAATGGTGATTATGTGCGCTGAGTGGACGCTGCGCGGTAAACATAAACATACAGGTACAGGTCAAAAATTATCCTAACTGGGGATCTTTCTTCAAAAATCTATATCCGCAATACACAATGACACCAACTCATTCTTATTTTAGTTTCATTTTTCTGTTTCGGTCTTTAAAAACTATTTCAAGTATACGTGGCTTTCAATTAATCGTTAACACAACTACCGATATTTTTACTGACTAGTTAAGAAGACATAGCAAAATATAGCAAACATTGTTTTTGTATAATGTTACCATAAAGAGAGATAAATTTTGTCCTCGTATGTTAAACGCCTACTTATTCGCACTCAATGTAGGTAAAAGTATCATGATAAGAAACGAAACTGAGAAATTTTTAAAATTAATCTAAAGACAAGTTTTTACATCTTAGTATAAGACCAATCAGAAATTGCATAATGCACATATCTGTGTGCATATACTATCTGTAATTTAGTCTTATAAGCGTTTTGGAACATGTATTCGGTCAGCTTTTAAGATGTTTGTAATAAATAAATAATGGGTCTGGGTGTCACTATCCCAACTTCCCAACTAATATTATAAATGCGAAAGTAACTCTGTCTGTCTGTCTGTCTGTCTGTCTGTTACGCTTTCCCGCTTAAACCTCGCAACCGATTTTGATGAAATTTGGCATAGAGATAGTTTGAGTCCCGGGAAAGAACATAGGATAGTTTTTATCCCGGTTTTTGAAACAGGGACGCGCGCGATAAAGTTTTTCTGTGACAGACAAAATTCCACGCGGGCGAAGCCGCGGGCGGAAAGCTAGTGTATAATATACAGGGTGTTAGGTAAATGGGTATATGAGCCGACACTAGCCCATGTTAACATGGGCATATAAATGGTATAGTGAAGTCAGAAATTTGAAATTATCATTTTATTTTTTTTTATTTTCATACTAAATAAATTTTGTAAAATCCGATTCGTATGAAAATCAAAATAATTAAAATGAAGATATAAATTTTCTGACTTCACCATACCATTTATATGCCCATGTTAACATGGGCTAGTGTCGGCTCATATACCCATTTACCTAACACCCTGTATAATATATTATGTGATGTAACTAAAAATTTATGGTTTTCGTAATTTTTCCTTTATCTATGCTATAAGACGTTGCTTCGTACCAAATTTCAAGATTCTGAGTTCACGGGAAGCACCCTGTAGGTTTTGATTCCCTTGCAAGTGTCGAAAATTTGCGGCATAAACGGCTGTATCTTTTGATTGCGTTGGCTTAGAAGTTTGATTTTTTCACAGCTTCAAGGGACAGTAGACCTGAATAATTGATATAAAGTTCAGCTTCATACCTCCACGCGTTCCTGAGAAAAAGGGTCTTGACAGACGGACGGACGGACAACAAAGTGATCCTATAAGGGTTCCGTTTTTTCCTTTTGAGGTACGGAACCCTAAAAAAAGTATGTAGTATATCCGTTAAGCTAGCACCCAAAACACAAGCATTAATTTGCTTACTTTGGGGCTAGCTGGCGCTGTGTGAAATTGACTAAAGATTTAATTATTTATTATTATTATTGATGATGTAAGAAGAGTAGAATGCGACCAAATCTCCTAGCTCCTCCCGTGGACTCGTAAGAGGTAACTAAGGGACACATGAATAATAATATGCGAACATCAGGCCTGAGAGCAAAGATATGTAGTAAAGACTTTACTATCGTGTGTTTGACGACGACAAGCACGGAAGAAGTCGCTAGCAGAAGCCTAAACCTTAGCAAATGAAGAACTGTGAAACCGGTAAATACACAGGTGTCTGCCTGCTTTTCAGCCATACACTCAAGTCAAGTGCTAAGGTGTTTCATTCCGTTGGCGTTCAATCTGTATTTTCTGGATAACAGAAGTGGCAGTACTACAGATTGTTCCAATAGCAACAACTCTACGACGCAACGCAATCACACGATGAGGCCAAACTCGTCGGGAGGGCAGCGCCCGTGCGGTGTTGATGATGTTAGAGCTCGTCATGGCCAGCAACACATTAGTTTGCTCAGGATTAAACTATTGGGTATGAAAGGACTTTAAGTGTGCCTGAGTCTGAGTACTTTCAGTAGCGTGGAACATTATATTCAACATCTATAACGTGACATAACAATGTTGAACTTAGTAAATTGCTGTAAATGGGTGGCAGTGTTTGTTTTTGAGATGTCAGTTTATGATGAACAATGCCGTCGTGTTCCGCTATGCTGCGGTAGTGCGGCGGCCTTGACATTGCATCGTCGCGTGCGCAGCGGCGGCGGTGTGTGCGCGGTCACGGAGATTACGCGCGCGCCCACACGTGCACCATAACATAGATAAATAATAGACTGGCGCCCGCTGCGAGTGGCTTCGTGACAATCACTGTTTTCCGAGTAGTTGTCAATCCGATCGGTGACACAGAAGGTAATGAGAGCCGAGTTGTTTAGAAGCAACGTCTTACTTACGTACATACTTTAATAACAACTCTATCAGTTGTAACTGCTTTTAGCAGCTCGAGTTGGTGGCAATACTTATATCAGTTGAAAAACGATTGGCAATCCCTTTAAAACTGTAGTTCTTATAAATTAAATTAAATAAAAGTAAAAATATCTTAAAATTTTAGCAAACAATAATTAAGATTTAGCGTCAATGTTATTTCGATAATCAGGCAGCAAGTACTAAAGAACTCTTGTAATACCACTTCAAAATGTCTAACTAGAAGGTATATTTTCGGTACATT